GCAATTTTTATAGTATAAGTGAACAAATTTGTATAGTATAGGCTGATTTATAAACTGCTTACCTATACCATGAGTTGACAAAAGTCAACATATTAAAAAAGAGCTAAGTAAGGGTAATGTGCTTTGTGAAAATAGCAACAGAAACAGGACCAATCCCGTATAATCAAGATTACAGGAGGATTATGATTCTAAATGACCTTCCGCATATAGTAATTATAACGTAATAATGAATACTGTGAGAAAATAGCTGATTCAGTGGAAAGCGCAGTTGTAATTCCCACCAGCCATCGCCAATTCAGGTATGAATTTGGCTGAAGAATAATAAAAGTTGTAATGTTCGATATAAAATATTTATTTACTTTCAAAATTTGTCATTAACAGAGCCACAGAATCCAATGTTATTACTAGAAAACAAGGTTTCAATTAAATAGAGCTGTGAGTTTGAGTGGGATGGGATCGAAAAAAACGATTAAAGAGGGTAAAAATTTGTACGAGTTATTGTTGGTCGTTTTTATTTGTATGTTTTTAGTATGGTAGTTTTTGTAAGGAAATTAGTGAATGTAGCAGGGTATTATATGTACGTTTAAATGGGATATTGTATAAATACAGGGGGTTATTTTGTTATGTTTAAATGACGGAGATAAATGGTATTTTTGGATGGTTGTTTGTTTCACAGTGAGTGGTACAAATAGATAATTGGATTGTTGATATGTCATATAATTGGATGTTCGATATTTTGTTTGGTTAGTGGGGAAAGATATTTTTTGTAGGGTAAGGTGTTTGAAATATTTATTTTTGATATAAGAGGTTCGTTGATAGGGATAAATTATAGGTTGATAATGTTAAGAGGGTCGATAATGTTAAGAGGTAGGTGTGTAGGTATTCATGGTAGAATATTTGGGTAGATAAAGGGGATGTGTTAATTAATTTTGATGATTTGATGTTAATTGGTTTAATCCCTTTCTGTTTAATTCGGCAAGTCTTGCATATTCAGATATGACTGTATGATCAGTTTTTACAGTATCGAATTCGAAAGAAAGGATATCGAGATTGTTCCAGGAAGTTGCTCTGCTCATCGCAACATATGCTTGTTCTGGGGCAAATATTCCTTGATCAATACTTACCGTGGCGTGAGGTAATGTGAGGCCTTGTGTTTTGTGTATAGTGAGGGCAAAGGCATTCTGGAGCGGAAATTGACGTCATGATGCTGAGTTACCGTTTATATTAAAATAGGATGTTTCTTTCTGAACGACTATTCTGGTGAGGGTAGTAGAGGTAGAAAATGTGACTTCAATGTTTTCTGTGTTTATTATTTTTGTTATGATACCAACTGTTCCATTGCAAATTTCATGCTCGAATAGTTTATTATTTAAATATATGACTCTTGCGCTTTCTTGTAAAGTTATCTGTTCTGGTAAGTTTGTGTGATGGTTGAAATGGAGAGAATTTTGTTGAGTTGTGGTGAGTGTAGTATGGTTTAAGGTGTCGATTGAAAGGGAGATGATTGGACCTAGGCTTTCATGGTTTAGGGGGAGATTTTTACACAAGATTTCATTGATTGAATTGGAAGATTGTCTTAGACCTACTAGGTAGGTTGAGTTGATAGTGTTTTGGGTTATGGAGGACGAATTAATTTTGTTTTTTATTAAATTTTTGGATGGTTCAGTTAAGTGACCGAATCTTAATTCTTGGAGTATTTTAAAGAAAGTAGGGTCATCTCTTTGTCGTTGAGGTTGGTGTAAGAAGAGGGGGAAAAATAGTCTCTATACAGGAGAGTTAAATACTGGGAGTCCATCAATGGGGGGTAATTGTGCAAGATCTCCCATGATGAGAGTAGGAATGCCACCAAAGATTTTCGAGTTTTGATGGATAGAGGCAAAAAGGTTACTGATAAATGTGAAAAGATTGGCTGAGACCATTGATATTTCTTCTATTATAATGGCTTGTATTTTGGATAGGTTATTTTTTGTTGTTGGATCATATTGAGATAGAGATGTATAATAATCACCAGTTTGTTTTATTTTTAGGGTGGAATGAATCATTTTTCCACCAACATTTTGTGCAGCTACACCTTTTGATGCAATGAGTAGGTAGTTTATGCATTTTGATTTTAGGTAATTTATAATTAAGTGTAGTAAAAAGGATTTTCCTGTGTCGGCGGAGCCGGTTAGAAAAAAGTAAGGATATTTTTCTTTATAATCAGGCCCCCAGGAATTAGTTAATATGTCGTATTTTTTATATTGATCTTTGTTAAGGGTCAGTGAGGAAAGGGATGTAATATGGGGTGATGGGTGATGTAAGAAAAGGAGTTGTTGTAAAATTATATCGTAGATATTGTTATTGTTTAGGTAAGCAAGGATTTGATCTAGAGTGTTTCTGTATGTAGTAGTTATTTGTAAAGTTTGGGATATTGTGGTATTATTGATTTCGGATATTGCATGTTCATATTGTAGGGGAAATAAAGACTTGAATTTTTCACAATAATTGGAGAAACTACCTAGAAGTTCAACTTCGGAATAGCAAGGAATTTTCATAATTAAGTGCTAAAAAAAAAAGGTTCGCCATCTTCAACTCTATACTGGGCAAATCGTAATAATAAGGGTTTTTTTCAAAGGGAGATATATCGATTTTTTTGATCTTGTATCCAGAATAATTTTGTGCGTTGTGATGGAGGTTGGTGTTTGATTGTATAGTTACGAAAATATTCTGGGTATGTGATATTAAGGAATCTTTCTGTTCATAGACGATTAAAATATTTATCAATCACAACACATGTCAACTCCAGTTCTCTAAGATATACTTATAAACGTCTAAAGCAACAAGACCGTTGGG